ACTAGGAGTTTGCCGCTCCTCTGCCCAAGTACTTTCCTCCGGCCGCGCGGGAGCGCACAGCGCTGGGGCCACGAGGGCCGGATCGGAGTGAAAGAGGGACCCGGACGCCCCATGTCTCTCCCCGAGCCTCTGAGGCGGGGAACCGGACGCCCTGGTCCAGGCTGTGGGGAAGGCTGGGGCGACGGTGGGGCTTCAGGTGGGAGGGGGGTGCGCGGAAAGCTGGGGACCGAGGCTCTCCCGAAGATGTGCCTCGGGATCCCCCGCATCTGCCGGACCCCTGGGGGACCCGAGTGTGAATCGCGCTCCAGTTACCGGGGCTGCCCCCCCAGGAAGAACGGGGTGCCTCGGGGCCCTGCTGGGGTTCGAGAGTTCTAAACACAGCTGCAGGCCGCGCTGGTACGGAGGGGGCACTTGAGGAGGGTTGGCACCCCGGTGGGGCCAGGGAAGTGTTGCTGTTTGGGGCTTATTTGGAACTGGCGGGGAGCGACTGGGAAGTGAGTGGGAGGTAGGAAGGGATGAAGATGTTCCCTTGTCCTGAGCACGGCTGAGGGATCAGGGGTCCAGCCAGGGCTGGGGTCTGTGGGAGAGGGTTCTCGACTCCTGGATCTGACTCGGAGGAAGATATAATCCTGCTGAGCTCCTCCCCCTACTCCCAGAAAAATGAAGCTGACACACAGAAATTGATACACAAACACCATAAAACAGTCACAGACACTGAGACAAACTACTCACCTACTGAGACACAGACATCCCCACAAACATCCCCCACACAGAGACAGACACATACACAAAGACGCAGACACATCCCAGGAAGACAGATTCCTCTCCCAAACGCAACAGTCCACACACCCCCGGCTCCCAAACTCCTGTACACAGGACGTGGATGCAGGCAGGCGCTTACAAGGACACACGGACACACTCCCACACACGCCAACCCCAAGCAAACAAAGAAACTTGAACAGACATCCCCAGAGGCAGACAGTTATGGAGATGTACAGTCTACAAAATGGAGGAGGTGGTCTTTTGGAAGGGGGTCTGGGAAGAGAAGTCGGCCGGGTTCGTGGAGCCCAGGCATTGTCCTGCTCTGCTCCCTTCCCGGTTTGTGGGTGTGTGTTTGGGGGTGGGGTGTTCTCCGGACCCCTCCTCTCCGGGCCAGGCCCCTCCCCAGCTCTGAAGGCGGGCAGCCCCTGATTCCTCTTTCCTACCGGGACACCCTTAGGATGTGGGAAGGGCGCACATCTGTGGTGTGAGGAGGAGGAGGTGGTGTTGAGGGAAAGGAGGAGGCCTGCCCCAAGGTTGGCAGGCCAGGCCCTGCTTGGCAGAAAGTTGGAAAGATGACTTAAGTTCTGACTTTGTTCAGCCAGGCGGTTGGCAGGGGTGTGGGGGAGGGGCGGCCGGGTCAGTGTTGGTATGTGTGGGGGGCAAGCTGGTGTCTGCCCCTCCTGCAGCCCTCACATGTCAGCAGCGTGGATCCGAATGAGCTTTAAGGAACAAAAGCTGCAGTTAGCAAACAGGAGAGACATGTGGATTGAATCGGGGACAGAAATGGTCAGAAGGAAATGTGTTGTGTTTCTTTCAGTAAAAGGGGCTAGGGATCACTGAGCCCTGCACCTTGCCTGCCAGCGACAAGGGTGAAATCAAGATCTCGTGAAAGTGTGCAAAAGTATTTGGGGTGAGGGGAGAGGATGCCAAAGAGAGGGAGAGATCCGTCAGGAGGGAGAGGGAATCACCACTGAGTGTTCAGGGAAGCTTAGCAGGGACTGGGAGGAAGGGGGGCGGCCTTGTCAGACCCCCATCCTCAGCTTCTGTGGGGAGGGGGAGAAGGTGACCAGAGAAAGCAACAAAATTGAGGGGAACTGAGAGCTGGGAAGGGGAGATTCTGCCTAGGCTGAGAAATAAAAATCGCATTTTAAAGAATTTCAATGGGCTTCATCAATCTTCATTTTTCACTAAATAATTTTCTGTATCTTATCTAAATGAAAACCATTATCCTTCCCCCGTTTCCATCATGCGCCGGCTCCTCAGACTGATTGCGCCGAAAATTGAAATATTTATTCATTTTCTGGGAGATTTTCTCGCTCCCTCATCTTGGGGAGGAGAAATTGAAAAAGAAAGATTATAGCTAATCAGAGCAATGTGGGATGACAGGCCGGCTCGGGCTCAGGCTCGGGGCGGGAGTTGCCTGGGGCGGGAGGGCTGCGGATAGGAGGGGGGATAGCAGAAAAATCTGTCCCTCGAGCCCTGAGACCTCCCCCTGGCACTCATGCCACTGCCTTTGAGGGAAATAAGGGGTAAAGGGAAGAGACCCAGGGGCCTCCTAAATTCCCAGTATTTAGCTCCCAGAGCACAGCTACATCCTGGCAGAGAACAGCACGTCTGGGAGAGTAGTTGGGAATCTGCCCTCCCTTTTCCCTGTGCTACACACACAAACACACACACACACACACACACACACACACACACACACACACACTCCAGATGTCCCACTTCTGCCAGAGCAGGGCCCTGAGCTTGGGGAAGAGGAGGGGAGAAAGGCAGAAATCAGGATACTGGGTCCCCTTCCTCCACCTTCAGTGAACTGTTCGTTCTGCTCATTTGCACACAAAGGAAGACCTGAAGGGAATACCAGGAGCCACAGACCTTACCACCTTCTGCTCCTTACCGACGTTTGGGAGTCCTGGCTCTGCCTGTGGTTCTCCAAGGGTGGGGCATAAAGGTGAGGAGGCTCCTCCCTGCCCTTCACACACACACACACACACACACACACACACACACACAGGCACACACGCACGGAACTTTGTCCTGATCAAACTGCTCCCAGACCTCCTTACATCCTCGAGGACTGTGGTTTCTGGCCCTCTGTACGTATGGTGAGTGCCGCTTAAATATCTGATCAATGGATTGATTTGCTGAGAGTGCTGCAGTGGTGGAGGGGAGTAATATTAAATGGGGAGTAAATCACAGGCTCACATCCGTCTCCCACCTTGGTAGTCATGCAAGCTTGAGTGAGGTACGTGCTCTCTCTGCCTCAGTTCACTCGTCTATAAAGCAGGGGGTTGGTAATAACCTGCAGAGAGTTGTGATGGCCATTAAACGTGTAAATCCATAGAGTCCATGGAACAGTGTCTGGCACAGAAGTGCTCAGCGCCTGCTGTGAAGACTGTTTGGCCTTTCCTCTGTAATTCTTGTGTTTTCTAGAACCCCAGTCTCCCCCGTTCTTGGTCCTGGGCTTCATTAGCTTCTGCTTTTAATCTGTCATGGACAGAAGCCAGTTATGATGGACTCAAATGAGAAAACAGCTTCCCCTTGGAGTGGAGACCTCTACAAAGGTCTGAGGAGGGGACTTGAGTGGGACGGCAAAGTCCCTTGGCACTTGAATGAGAAGGAGCCAGGGCTCTCGTGTGAAGTGAGGGACGCTAGCACTGAGGTGGCAGCATGTTAGAGTCTGGAAACAATACAGATCACTTATTAAGCACTTGTACTAATTACTTTGTAACCAGTAGCTAATTTAATCTATACAGAGATGCCGAGATCTGTTCCGAAAGTATCCGGTTTCCTGGATGAGAAACTGAGGTTTAGACAGGTTAAGTATCTTGTCTGTCGAGTGATTCTAGGCGCCACCTGACCCCACAGCTTGCACTCTTCCCCTTTGCCACAGGCCCCACGCGTGTCAGGGATTGATGCTGGCTGGGAACAGGGTTTTTCCTGGTTTGTGGCAGAATAAGAGCTAGGAGGAAAAGGGATTTTCTCATAAAGGCAAACTCATCCAAGTACTTAAAATCCTTTATTTTGATCCTTTATTTTGAGATTCTTTCCTACATTTTTTTTTTTTTTGGTGTTAAACTGTTTTTCTTTGATATGACTGTGTTACTAAATGACGTTCTTTTTTTAAGGACTTACTTGGCAAATAAGGTTAACAACGTAGTGTTTATTTCTAATATTAAACACAGCTTTACAGGTTCATGAATTACAAATTAGAAAACACTCTTGTGCCATTCAAGGCCTGCTCTAGGGGGACACTCAGGGTAAGGTGCTCCAGCTTCCACTGTCCCATCAGCCTGGTGTGCAGGCAGGAGGCCAGGGTCTTAGGTGGTTTGTTCTTTTGTCTGTGCTCTGGGGACCTGCTGGCCTAGGGCAGTGAAGAGTGGTCACAGGAGGTCAGCTCTGCCAGTGAAACTTCAAAAA